CCATAGACAGGTCAAGGTTTGTATGTTTCGTTTTTTTTGTATCGATGACACGGTCTCAAGAGCGGAGGGCACTGGTGACAACTTAACCAGTGCGTTGGCGGCGTCGGCGAAAGTCCTTGCGGAAGGACTGCACCGGGCCAGGGTTGTGATTTCGGACAAGACTACAGCGCTTGCGACTACGAGCCAGGTCAGAGTCCGCATTGTCAGTCTGCTCAACGAACTGCAGGTCACTCATGAGCTCTCGACTGTTGCTGTCGATCTAGGGTGTGGTACCACAGTAGGTAAGGCTCGTAGACTCGATCGTGCCAAGCATAGGCTTTTCAAGGCCAGCACGCGGCTTAGGAAAGTCAGGAAGATGCGTCGCTCGGCTAGGCTGTCGAAGATCTCCCAGTCTCTGCGGACCAAGGGGGGCCCTTCCCCAGGCTGCCTATGGACATCAAGTGCACGGCGTGAGTCCGAGCCAAAGAACCTCCCTTATGCCACAGGCTGGTCAAGCTATCGCTAGCACAGGGTCTGGTATATGCTTAACGATTGTTCTCGCCATGCATATGGGGGTCAAAGATCCTGGGTGGGAGCCCCGTCGTCACTTGGTCTTCGAGCTTTGCCAGTTTTTGAAGTCTTCGCCAGAGCTTCATGATCGCATCTGGGCGGCTTGGAAGCACTTCGTCCCGCAACTCTGGCCCAGTAAGTCTCGTTGGAGCAGGGCCAACGGACCCGTCAGTGCTGTCATTGCGTCTTTGTGCGGAGCAGGGTGGGTTCCGTTTGCTCTTGACTCGTGGCGGAGGCCAGTGGCAGATGGCCTCGTCGTCTGGAGATTGCCTTGTGACGGCGGGCTGCGCGAGCTCCTCCTCTTGCTGAGCATGCGGGTCACAGCGCTGACCCAGAAGAGCCGCGCGATGCGGGGCATCCTCACGCGCGCCATCATCTCGGAGGACAGCAACCCCATTGTGAAGGCGATGCAGGAGGAGGGCAAGGGGTCTCCAGCCAATGCCGCGAACCTCAGGGCGAAAAGCATGAGCTTGATGGAGGCGGCGAAGGAAGCCAACTCACAAGACAGCTCGCTGTTTGGGCCCCACCGCCAGCCCAGACGGCGAGCATAAATCTTGCGTAGTCCCGCGCACATTCGAATGCTCACAGTTCGTCGCCGTACTACTCGTATGCCTCCCCGTCCTCCTACCCGTCCTGATCGTCGTCGTCGTCCTCCTCCCCGTCCTCCTCATCCTCCTCGTCTTCCTCGTCCTCCTCCTGCTCCAGCTCCTCCTCCTCGTCCTCGTCTAGGACTTCGTCGTCGTTTCTCCCCTGACTCCTCCTGCTCATCCTTCTTCTCCTGGCACATCGGCGGCCGAGAAAAACCGTCTCCTATCCGTTGCGCCATAGGTAGCGTCCTCGGCGGCCGGGACTCAAACCGTCTCCTATCGGTTGCGCCATAGGTTGCGCCCTCGGCGATCGAGAAAAAAAGCGTATTCTATCGAGTGCGCCATAGGTTTCGCTTTCGGCGGCTGAGAATAAAACCGCCTCCCATCGGTTGCGCCTTAAGTTGCGCCCTCGGCGCCCGACGGCCGAGGATAAATCCGTCTCCTATCGCTTGCGCCAAAGGTTGCGCCCCGGCGGCCGAGAGTAGAACCTGATCCTATCGGTTGCGCCGTATGTTGCGCCCTCGGCGGCCGAGGATAAAACCGTCTCTTAGCTGTTGTGCCATAGGTTTCGCCTTCAGCAGCCGAGAATGAAACCGTTTCTTATTGGTTGCGCCATAGGTTGCGCCCTCAACGGCCGACAATGAAACCGTTTCCTATCGGTTGCGCCATATGTTGCGCCCTCGGCGGCCGAAAGTACAACCGTCTCGTATCGCTTGCGCCGTAGGTTGCGCCCTCGGCGGCCGAAAATACAACGGTCTCCTATGCTTTGCGCAATAGGTTGCGCCTTCGGCGGCCGAGAATAGAACCGTCTCCTATCGGTTGCGCCATGGGTTGCGCTCTCTGCGGCTGAGAATGCAACCGTCTCCTCTTGCTTGCGCCATAGGTTGCGCCCTCGGCGGCTGAGAATACAACCGTTTCCTATCGATTGCGCCACGGGTTGCGCCATCGGCGGCCGAGAATCCTATTGGTTGCGCCATAGGTTGCGCCATCGGCGGCCGAGAATAAAGCCGTTTCTTATTATTTTCGCTAAGGTTGCGCCTTCGGCGGCCGAAAATAAAACTGTCGCGTATCGCTTGCGCCATAAGTTGCGCCTTCGGTGGCCGATGATGAAACTGTCGCGTAACGGGTGCGACCAGTTAGTTCAGTTTCAGCTCGGTCCAGTTCAGTCAGTTTACCTCGCGATAAACAAATTCGGGCTACGCCCGAAAACAGGATCGGCGTCGAGGCGGCGGCCAACAAGGGCGTCGAGGACACGACAAAAGAGCTGCGCGAGTTGGGTCGTCCGATCCCTGCCGTCTTCGCGGCCGTGGTCGATGCGCTGGCGGAGCAGGAGGAGGGGAAATCAACGGGGTCACTCGAGGCGTGGGGAACGGCCATGGTCGGCGACCCGCCCGATTTTGTGAAGTTGTGCACGCTCGGGAATTGCGAGCAGCAGTGCACCAAGGTCGTGTTTTCGGGGTCGGACGTGACGAAGGAGAACGTGCCGGTCGACTCGCACCGCGCCCTGGGCTGCGAGATCACGAGCGGGCGGGCCCCAGCGGGGCACATGGAGAAATAGCTGGGCGCCTGGATCGACGTCCGTAAGACCTAGGTGGTGGGCTGCTGCTGGACGTAGTGCGCGAAAATCGCTACAATTCGATTGGTCGCCGAACTACTGGGCCGAGGTGGCTGCTGCTGGACGTAGTGCACGGTTGTCTACATCGGTTGGTGGCCGAACTATTGCACGGAGTTCATTCTGAGGTGCCCGCGCAGCGTGCCCGCTCAGACGCGCGGCTGATGCGACCGCAGGCGCCCATGATGTGAAAATGCCCCTCTTCGGACAGCGAACATCAATAATTTCCTCACGGGTTTTGTAGCGCCGATTTTGTGTTCGCGTCTGCCTTCACTCCTCGTTCGCCTTCCTCCTCGTGGCCGTCGTCGGTCCCTGCCCGTCGGTCCCCTTCCCCCCGTTGCGGTCCCCTGGCCCGCTCGGCGCCGCGGTGCCCGCGAAACACACCTAACCAGGTAGACTGCGCACACGTAGGTGTTATAGCCAAGTCGCGTACGTGTGTATACTATTTAAATTGTTGCATGACCTACAGCGAGCAGTTTATTATTTCCATTCGGCGTAACCCTGGGTATTGCTCATCAGCTGCGTCCTCCTCCTCCTCCTCCTTTTCCTCCTCCTCCTCTTCCTCCTCCTCCTCCTCCTCCTCCTCTTCCTCCTCCTCTTCCTCCTCCTCCCCCCCCCATCCTCCTCCTCTCCCTCCTCCTCCTCTTCCTCCCCCTCCTCCTCGTCCACTTCCCCCTCCTCTGAGTTATCCAAGGGCACTTGCAGGCCTTTTGAACGATGTTCGCATCGGCGTCTTTAGTGGTTGCACCGCACCCGCGCGTCTCGAAGTCCAAAAGTCCCTCGCGCCGCTCCACCTCTTCCCCTTTCATCCGCCTCCCCATTGCCTTGCTACTCCCTCTCCCGCTTCCCTTCTCCTCTCCCCCTTCTTCCTCCTCCCCCATTCCCCCTCCTCCCCCCTGCCCTTTTTCTCATTGTTGAGGAGGTTCGCGGGCGTGTAGGTTCTGGCAGCATGTTTCAGCGATTGTCCAGCCTCTAGCGGCCAGCGTGTGTGCCACGTTTTCGATGGGGCAATGTTTCGCAAGTATTTGTAGGGGAGCTGTTCCAGGTGTCAGGGTCCATTTCCCTGGCTCGTAAAAGCGGGCGGCTGAGTTCACCTTACCTTCCCTTGGTCAACGTGGGCGGTGCAATGTGAAAGCCCCCACAGGGCGCAGCGTGCACATTTCGGGAGGGTCGTTGACGAATCGCGCAGTTCAAGCTACCACACGGGGCCGGGTTTTTCGTTTTTTTTTGCGAGTGTTTTACTGCGCACCAGCTAGCAACATGTGGCCAGGAATGCGCTACAGCAGTCACAGGTAATCGTGAGGATGACGTTGGCGGAATCGCCCGTGGTGTATGGCCTGGGGGTCGGGTTCCTCCTCCATCCTCCCTCCCTCCTCCCTCCTCCATCCTCCCTCCTCCCTCCCTCCTGTCTCCTTGTCCCGACCCGCTCGGCCTCCTGCTGCTGCTGCTGCTCCTTCTCCTCCTCCTCCTCCTCCTCCTCCTCCTCCTCCTCTCTCCTCCCTCCCCCTCCCTCTTCCGTCCTCCGTTCACCTCCCTCATCGCTCTGGTCCGCTTTTCTCCTCCTCCTGCTGGTACCGCCCTTCCTCCTCCTGTCTCCGTCCTCATCCTCCCTCCGCCCTCCTCCCTGATCCCTTCTCCCTCTTTCCTCCCTCCGCTGTCCTTCCTCCCTCCCTCCTCCGCCCTCACCGTTCCTTCCCCCCCTTTTCCGTCGCTTCCATCCTCCCATCTGTCGCTCGTCCTCCCCTCATCCTTTTCCTCCTTCCCTCTTCCTATCCTCCTCCTTCCTCCTCTTCCTCCTCTTCCCCCTCTTCCTCTTCCCCCCCCCGTCCTCCTGTCCTCCTCCCCCATCCCTTCCCCTTTTTCCTCTTTCCTCCTCCTGCTCCTCTTCTTCCTCCTCCTCCTCCTCCTCCTCCGCGTTTTCCTCCACGTTCTCCTCCTTTTCCTCCTCCTCCTCCTCCTCCTCCTCCTCCTCCTCCTCCTCCCCCGTCCTCCTCCTCTTCTTTTTCCTCCTCTTCCACGTTCTCCTTCGCCTTTTCCTCCTCCTCCTCCTCCCCCTCTCCCTCCTCCTCCTCCTCCCCCTCCTCCCCCTCCTCCTCCTCCTCCTCCTCCTCCTTCACGTTGTCCCCCACGTTTTGCTCCACCTCTTCCTCCTCCTCCACGTTTTCCTCCGCCTCCTCCTCCTCCTCCTTTCTCCTTCCCCTCCATGCCCTGTGAAGGGTGGGTGGGCGAGCGGCCGGGGAGCGGACGCGAAGGTACTTGGCGCTGCTCGAGGCGCCGCTCGGCCCCTTTGGGGGCATGCAGGTGGCTGGCGCCCGGAGAGCCCAGTGAGTGGAGGGCGGCCTTGGGCTCGATGGGGACGTGGAGGGGGGGAGGGAGGGGGGGAGGGGGAGACAAAGGGGTAGCCGGAGTGGGGGAGGGGGAGGGAGAGGGGGCAGGAGCAGGAGGAGGGCTGGACGATGGGGGCGGGGAAGGGGAAGGATGAGGGGATGTTGCTGTTGTTGATGCTACTGCTGCTGGTGATAATGGTGGTGATGATACTGATGATGATGATGCTGGTGGTGCTGGTGGTAGTTGTGTTGCTGGTGATGCGGGTGCTGCTGATGACGTTGCGGATGGTGATGATGACGATGCTGACGATGATGGTGGTGATGTCGATGATTCCGATGATGCTGTTGCTGATGTTGCTGATGCTGATGATGCTGACGATGATGCTGACTACGATGGTGGCGATGGTGATGATGATGACGATGACGATGACGATGATGATGATGATGATGATGATGATGATGATGATGATGATGCTGATGATGATGATGATGATGATGATGGTTGTGATGATGATGCTGATGATGGTGATTCTCATGATGTTGATGCTATTGCTGTTGATGATGACGGTGGTGGTGTTGATGCTGATGGTACTGGTGCTGGTGGTGGTGGTGCTGATTACTGAGAAAATGACGATGCTACTGATCCTGATGATGATGATGACGGCATTGACGATGACGAGCTGTTGGTGATGCTAATGTTGCTATTGATGGTGATTGTGATGCCGCTGGGCGCTGATCATGATGCGGTTGATGATGAGGTTATACATGTTTGTCATGATGTTGATGATGATGATGGTGATGCTGCTGCTGATGATGATGATGATGACCATGATGATCATGCTGGTCATGTTCATCAGGAAGGCGGCAGCGCTGATGATGATGACGGCGATAATGAGGAGGTGTATGGTGATGTTGATGACGTTGCTGGTGCTGGTGATGTTGAGGAGGTCCAACACGAGCGGGATGCGTGCGATGATGCTGGTGATGCGGTTGATAGCGGTGGTGATGATGGTGATGGTGATGGTGATGGTAATGTAATGCTTTCATTGATTGCGGTGGTAAAGATGGCGATGGCGATGGTGCGATGCTGGTGGTGGTGTGGTGCGGATGGTGCGGATGATAATACCGATGGCGTTGCTGCTGATGGTGATGATGACGACGGTCATACTGGTGATGACTCTTTTGATGAGGATGATGGTGGTGATGCTGGTGCTGATGGTGGTGGTGATGATATGGTTGTTGCGTTTGCTAATTACGTTGATGCTTATTGTGGTGGTGTTGATGTTAGTGGCGATGATGGTTTTGCTGGTAGTGGTGGTGGCGATGCTGATGGTGATCACGACGTGGATGCTGCTGTTGCTGTTGATGGTGCTGATGATGATGAGGATGATGGTGATGATGGTGATGAGGATGTTGATGGTGACGGTTACGATGATAATGCCGATGATGCTGGTGGTCAGTATGATGTTGATGATGGTGATGCTGATGGTGATAATGGTGATGATGCTGATCATGATGATGCTGATGGTGATGCTGATGGTGATAATGGTGATGATGCTGATCATGATGATGATGATGCTGATGCTGATGATAATGATGGTGATGATGATGATGCTGATGATGCTGATGATGATGATGATGATGATGATGATGATGATGATGATGATGATGATGATGATGATGATGGCGATGATGATGATACTGTTGATGCTGACGTGGATGTTGGTGCTGCTGTTCATGGTGATGCTGTTTATCATGATGATGATGCGGATGATGATGTTGCTGATGCTGATGTTGATGATGATGCCGATGCTGATGATGCTGATGATGATGCTGATGATGGTGATGATGATGAGTCTGATGGTGCTGATGATGATGGGTGTGCGTATCACGAAAATGACGTGCTGAGGTTTTCGGTTGCCGGGCCCCTGTAATATCCCCTCCATGTCCTTAAACGTTTTCGCTCAAGCCTCGCTATTCTCTTTCATCAGAGATCTTCTCTGCGACTTGCGGCCTCGAGGCACGCACGGCTCGCAGGAGTCGCGGCTCTCTGGATGGCTGCCCAGCGGCCTTCGCACCTGACCGTGCGCCCCTATTGCAGATTCTGCAACCTGTGGGAGGACGAGCGCCACGATCGGTGCTCCATGTGCGGGCGCGCTTCTACGTGGACATGCGCGGGATGCCGAGATAGGCTCTGAGGCTGCCCCTGCGATCTCCGTGGAGGTGCGCGAGATGGTGGCCCAGGAACGCGAGGAGGAGCACGTCGGCGACGGCGACCTCGACCTGTCCGACGGGGAGCTCGAGGAACTGCACGCCCAGCTCATCCTTCGGGCGAGGTCTGGTGCCAGCGTGTTGTTCACGGCGCCTGGGGGGTCTCCCCCGACCGCGGGCGAGTGGACGGCCGCGCGCGCCGCCGTCGGCGGCCTCGCGGCATCAGGCGGCGGGGGGATGCAGGAGGCTTCGCCGTCCGCGGGTGCGGGCGGTGACGTGTCGCAAGAGACCTCGCCCCAGGGGTGGATCTGCAAGGGGTGTCTAGCGCCGAACAGGTGCGGGCTGGAGTGCTACCAGTGCGGGACCCCGAACCCCGCGTTGTCGAGCTACGGGGGATGACGACGAGGACGAGGAGCTGGAAGAGGCGTCGCCACGCGTCGACAGCCGGGGTGACAGCGAGGAGACCGAGGAGGATTTGGCGGCGGAGGTCCCCGAGCAGGCCGAGGCGTGGGCGGCCGTCTTGGACCGCAACAACGTTCTCTGGGCGGGGCCTGTTGCAGTAGGCGGTCCGATCGTGCAGGCAGCGGCGCCCGAGGGGCCAGAGGTCGGTGCCGACGGCGGCGGGGACGTGGACTTCGGGCTCGCGTTCAACGGGCACCCTCTCGCCCCGCCGCGCTCCGCCCGCCGCGTGATCTAGTTTCGCAGCTGGCGGGTGGCGAGGGGCTGCCTGGGGGAGGAGAAGGACGCGGGGCTGCGCGCGAGGGGCGTGCGGTGCCCGCGGGCGAGTCATGATGATGGAGAGGGGCCGCGGTGCGACGTCCCCGAGCCGCGGCCCTCTCAGCGTCGGGGGCGGGTCGTGCCAGGCGGCCCGCGGGCGGAGGCGACTCTTTCCGCTTCCCGCCGCGCATGCTGACCCATCCTGTCGGGTCGGGCGGTCGAAGAAGCAGCAGCGGAAGGATCGTCAGCGCGAGGTGGTTCCCTCGCTAGTGGCAGAAGCGTTTGGTGCACTTAATTGGATGAGCGGGCACCACCGTCACGACTCGAAGGGCGAGCATATCTCGCCCATCGGCCAGGCGTCGGAGATGGTGGACGCGACGAGGAGCTATCTGGAAGGGCTGGCTTTGCTCCAGCAGCCCAGTGGTGGACATGCCCAACATCCCACTTCGGAGGCGGCTCTGTCGGAGTTGCTCCGCGGGGGGGGCGGCGGATACACCGACGCCGATCCCTCCTCAACAGCTCTGGCCCCCTTCAGGCACGATCAGGTGCCACTTGCCTCGGACACGTCTGATAGTCAGTCGATCGAGGAGCTCATGGGCGCCCGAGGTCGGTATTTTCTGGAGGGAGGTGGAGAGCGAATGCGCCTGGCTGCTGATGATGAACTAACTGAGGCTGGATTGCATGACGTCCCTTGCTGCGTCGATCCCGCGCTGGTTCGAGATCGGAGGAAGTATGTTCGGTTTTTGAAGTACCTGAGGGTGAGAGGTCTCGTGCAGTTCTCTCGGGGCTGCCGCGAACGCGCGGGGCTCTTCTTCGCGACGAAAAGGTCGGGGGCGCTCGGGGTGATCCTGGGCGCGCGGAGGGCGAATGCCCATTTTCAAGCTCCGCCGCACGTGGGCCTCCTCACGGCTGAGGGCCTCGGTAACATCGAGGAGGGCGTTTCTGGCGGTGAGACTGATCTGGCGGTCGCCGCCGTGGGCGTCGCCGATGCCTTCCACCGCGTGAAGATGCCTGACCATCTTTGCGAGTTCTTCGGGCTCCCGTCGGCCACGGCGGGCGAGCTGGGGGCCAAGTCGCTCGGAGGGGGACCCGTCGACGCGGGTCGCGAGATCGCGCCTCTGGGTGCGGCGCCCCCGATGGGATTCACCTGGTCGTTGTTCTTCGCGCAGGATGCAGACGAGGAGGCGGCGGCCTCCGTCATCGACAGGTGCGAGCTCCTGGTGGACCATGGGCGCCTCCTCCTACTCCGATGCCTTCGCGACGGAGATGGGCGAGGTCGAGGCGCTCGGGGTCGTGCCCGACGCGACTCGGCGTCGCGCCCGTCTCAGCAGCAAGCGGTTCTGGCGGCTGCGCCAAGGGCTCCGCGGGCTGCTGCGGCGGCGACGGGTGGGCGAGCAGTCAGTGGAGATCGTGCTCGGGCGCTGCACCTTTGCGGGGCTCGTCCGCAGGGAGAGCCTGAGCTGCTTCGGCGCCGTATACAGCTTCATCCAGAGCAACTACTGCGCTCCTGCCGAGCTCTGGCCCAGCGTGCGGGGCGAGCTCGTGTTTCCTGGGCTTCATGATAACGTTGGTGGCCTCGTGGGACCTCCCGTGGAACGGCGTCGCGTGCGCCGCCGACGCCTGCGAGGAGGGCTCCGGCGTCTGCCTGCGTGTGCTCGGGCCCGCGCGCGCCTCTCGGCGCGGGCGTCTTCGTGGGCGCGAGCGCTTCAGGCGCCCTGAGCACGCGCGCGCGCCCGCGATGCCGCCCTGCCGGGGAACGGCGACGCCCTGCAGCTAGCGAGCCTCGAGGCCCTGGGAGCGATTGGAGCTCAGGGCCTTGGGGCGCAGGGCGAGTTCGAAGACGTTTCGCCCCTCGTTTTGGGCGAGGCGTCGTGGCATGTGCGCGGAGGCTGGCTTTTCAGCTTTGAGGAAAACATCTTGCTCCTGCAGGCCCGAGCTCTCTTAGTGGGGGGCCGAACGCGTCCTCCTCGCCCGTCCTCGGCGTAACTTGAGGCAGCTCCTGTTTTGCGATGATATTGCCCTAGTCCTCTGTTGTGACAGGTGCCG